CTATGTAACATATATACATAGTAGTAGAAATTGCACGATTTTCCCCGTTAGGTTTTTCTTGTGATAATGGTGTAACTGTTATTAAATTGGACTGGATTTGTGACGATATTCAAGATTGCTACGACAATACAGATGAGGAGGGGTGTGGTAAGTATTTTTTTCCGCATCATCTTCTACTATAATATTAATCATTACTATAAACTTGATTTGTCCTGTGTCGTTAATGTGAATAATTGTTTTTCTGAGTCAGATTTAAGCAGCTATTCGTTTAGCAGCTATTCGTTTAGCAGCTATTCGGAATGTCCTTACGCTGACTGTGACGATGGTACCATCTGCCTACATGAATATGATATTTGTGATAACATAGCAGACTGTATAGATGGACAAGACGAAGCAGAAAGCCTGTGTACACGTATGTAAATAAACATATGGTATATGAATGCTTTAATATCAAAATAATAATTATAGCCCTTTGCATAATGTTCAAAACATTGTTAGTGGTATTTTATTTTGACTTTCCACAATTATACTCTAAAATGTTCTTCATTTTGGGACTTTGCCTTTTTCAGACTGTTGGGCTTGTGATGGTGGAACACAATGTATTGACTTAGATTTTGTTTGCGATTCTATTGCCGATTGTGACGACATGACAGATGAGAACAATGATGGGTGTCCACCAGGTACTACATAATTTAGGACCTCTGCAATCGGTTACACACTTTGTACATCGTTAACACTTCACCAAATCCTGTTACAGCAAATGCAATTGATCTTTGACCCCTTCGTTGCCCAATTGGCATAACCCAAAATTGGCTGCACGTGCCCAATCACTTGCTACATTAATGACATAAACACAAAGTTCGGCACATCACCTCTACTTTCCCAATCAATCACTCGCTACATTGTCTGCATTCAACTCTCTGTCACATCGGTTGCGCAATGTCTTTCATCTTACACTTATGACATTTTACTACATCGGCTGCACTGTGTTTTCTACATCGGATAAATTTATACACTAATCTTGCTACATTGGCTGCACTGCATAGCTTACTGCTACATTACTACAAATGTGTACAGTTTGCTACATTGATCATTTATCTAATTTGAAAATTGTGCCCCCGTTTGAACCATTCTGAATCCACCCATGTCCTCCAACGTCAACCTCACCATTAGTTGCATTAGCTAATAAAATACATTTTTGGATTTTCGAAAAATAATAGGCGATATACTCGTACTTTTTAAATAATATAATGATCAAGTATTTTTCAGTGGAGGACCGATGCTGGAATGGGGCGTTCCTTTGTCATCATGGCTATTTTTGCATCCCTCGTAGCTGGATGTGCGATAATGAAAATGACTGTGGTGACAATTCTGAAGAAATTAAATGTCGTAAGTATTATACCAGACTAAAACAATGGAGTTAAATTAATTGCTTAACTTATAATGGTACCTCTTGAGAGTAATATATAGAACTGGACTGTTTGTTTCAAAGCCGACAATGACATGTGGTCAAATTGGAGCGAATGGTCAATCTGCGACGCTGATTGCGGATCCGGTAAAAAAACAAGGACTAGAGCTGTCTCTTATACACATCTAGATGTGTATAAGAGACAGGTACCGGTACAACATTACTAGGATAATTATTTAACCTTACTCTATTCATCATAATTTTGCTTTTACTATCAATTATTTATAGTATCACTGACCTTTGTATTATTTTTGCATTGTATTAATATACACACATTACATCCTGTACCTAGC